AAAAAAGCCACACACACAAAACTCCCCAACAACAATTATTCAGGATAGTTGCTACTTTGTGTCTGCAAGTCAACTTGTAACCTAGTTATTTCTTTTATTTAGGAGGCACATGGGACTGAAAAATTTAGCTGCCAATTTTATCCAACTACCCCACAGAAAGCACAAATGATTCCCAACAGTGTAAACTTTGGAGGGTTGAGATAGTAGACACTATTTGTTATGTGTAGTAGATTCAACTGTTGAGCCTGAAAATGTAGGCTTTTTCTCTTAACAGAAATCTTAGGGCCTTTCCTCTAGTTTTGCTAGACTGGGTTCCAGAAGAATAGTAAAGAATCCCTCATGTGAAATTCAAAGTGTAACAATTGTATTCTGTTGTGTCATACCAATTTTTGCTACTTGCATAGACTAAAGACAGTTGGTTTGCTAAATGGCACTGAAGAAAATCCTGACCCGAGTGGCACTACTTAGTCCAAATGCTTTTGACCAAAGAAAATTATACAACAATATTTATAGGCTCACTTTTAAGAGGTGGCAGACATTAATACTGTACATATTTTACATGTCAAATACATAGTCCAAGAGTTTATAAAATAAGTTCATGCATTATTACCTCTAAGAATATCATGTACAAGAAACCTCCCTCCCCCAGTACTTGTGACAGCATTTCAGGTGGACAGTTTTATATACAAAATCCAGTTTCTCTGCTGTGTTAAGGTATGTAATTTAAAGAAATTTCAGATTACTGAAAAAAAATCCTAGTCCATTGAAGAGTGATAGAAAGTGTCAATCTGTGGATTTAAAATGTTTCTTTTAAAAACACCCAGAATGGATAACCTCTGTACAAAGAAAAATATAAAAATTCTGGATGATCATGTTTGATCACACTACATAATTTCAAATGAAATGTCATTGGTTAAAAGTCTTTCTACTTTGCTCATTCCTCTGACAGCATTAATTTGTGAACTAATGCTTATATTTAGTTCAGCTGCATTTATGGCACAAGATCTTTTTCGGAACAATGGCACTGATTTTTCTTAAGTGTAACAGCGCTATTTAGCAGCAATTATAAAGGTTAACAATTTGTGGAACAAATGTACAACCATACTTACTTTCTACTCTATACTCACCAGTTACAATATTTACAAGGCTAACGTCTACATAGAGAAAGATCTTTCACTCGCCCCCGAACCCCGTGTCTTCTTCAAAGTTGGTTCTCCTCCCATCTCATTTGTGACTTGGCGGTCAGCGAGTACAGGAGTTTCAGACAGGGTACCTTATGTGTTTTTCAATGGGATTCTTGATGGTAAGTGAGTATAAAGACAAGTGTTAAGACGAAATTCTTAGCTCAGGTATGTTCCAGTGCCCCAAAAGTTAGTTACAGGATAAACAGTACTTATTGGCAATCTATAAAAGATGAGACATTCTGAGGTGTCCTAATATCTAAGTGTGTAACAGCTGAACAGTAAGAAGGCCATTTTACTCAATTGTGATGCAGTCACCACTGATCAGCATTTGAGGTTAGACTCTAATCCTGTGGTTAGTAGTACCAGCAAGTTTAACTGAAGAGGGGTCAGTAAGTTCAAAAACTGGAAATATATCTTTAAAAGGAATTTACATCAAGGGTATTCTGGTTCTCTATCAAGTATTCTGTGTAAAGAGGTTATAGATAAAAGGAATTGGCAACCTAGCATGCTAACTCAAGTTCCATGAACACAGTTTTTCATGATAAGGTGTATTTACTGCGTGCATTTTTCTTAAAACACCTCTCTAAAAACCACTCTATATAGTTAAACTTTGTGTTAAAGGACTATTGAGTTATGGGGTGGGACGGGGGGGGGGCAGGAATTGGCCATATTGGGTAGCTAGTGACATA